ACGCATAGCCCAAGTCCAAAAGGATGGAGTGTTGGAGTCATTCGACCTTAGGGAAGATGACACATGCGAGTCTTGTTTACTTGGAAAGATGACTAAGTCACCCTTCGCTGGTACGTGCGAAAGGGGTGAGGGTCTATTGGACCTCATACATACTGATGTATGTGGGCCGTTTAGATCTACCACGAAGGATGGAAACCGCTTCTACGTGACTTTTACCGATGACTATAGTAGATATGGGTATATCTACTTAATCAAGCAAAAGTCAGAAACTTTTGAAAAATTCGAAGAGTTTAAGAGTGAAGTGGAGAATCAATTGGGCAGGAAGATCAAGATGTTTTGATCCGATCGAGGAGGAGAGTACCTAAGTCTTGAATTCTACGATTATCTCAAGGAGTGTGGAATAGTTTCACAATTGACGCCACCTAGGACACCACAATTGAATGGTGTGGCAGAAAGGCGTAATCGAACCTTGTTGGACATGGTTCGCTCTATGATGAGTCGTGCTTCGCTATCTATCTCTTTTTGGCGGTATGCCTTAGAGACTGCCACCCATATCCTTAACCGATTCCCTACTAAGAAGGTTGCCAAAACACCTCATGAGATTTGGATAGGGAAAGCTCCTTCATTAGCACATATCAAGGTTTGGGGTTGCGAGGCTTTCGTAAGACGAGATACTCACGACAAGCTCGAACCTCGTAGTGAGCGATGTATTTTCATCGGCTACCCGCAGAAATCCTTTGGATATCTCTTCTATAGACCGAAGGACAATGTTGTCTTTGTTGCGAGGAGAGGAGTTTTCCGAGAACGAGAACTCATAGGCCAAGGAGACAATGGGAGGCAAATCGATCTTGAAGAGATTCAAGAGTCGATAAATGAAGGAACCTCTACCGCTGGCACTCAACCCGAGGAGGAAACTTCGGTTGAGCCAATTGACATATCATTACCTCTTAGACGTTCTGAAAGAGTTAGGTTTCAACCCTAGATATATGGTTTTCATATTACTACCGAAGGGGACACATATATTAGTGATAGTACACTAATAAATCTTGATGAACCTAATAGCTATAAGGAAGCCATGGCAGGCCCGGAGTCTGCGAAATGGAAAGAGGCAATGGATAGCGAGATCCAATCCATGTATGATAACCAAGTTTGGAATTTGGTTGATAATGTGCCTGGTCGTAAGACCGTTGGGTGCAAATGGATCTTCAAGAAGAAGACCGACGTGGATGGAAAGGTACACACCTTTAAAGCACGACTAGTTGCGAAGGGCCTTACTCAAACTCCCGGAGTTGACTATGAAGAGACCTTCTCACCAGTTGTGAAGATAAAATCTATTAGAGTGATGCTAGCTATTTCCGCATTTCATGATTATGAGATTTGGCAAATGGATGTCAAGACCGCTTTCCTTAATGAAAAGTTGGCTGAGGATGTTTACATGGCTCAGCTAGAGGGGTTTGTGGATCCGAAGCATCCGAATAGAGTGTGTAAGCTTGAGAAGTCCATTTATGGACTTAAGCAAGCGTCTCATAGATGGAATCTTTGTTTCGATGAGAAAGTCAAAGAGTTTGGATTTATACGAAGTGAAGATGAATCATGTGTATATGTCAAAGCCAATGGGAGTGTAGTAAGCTTTCTCGTTCTATATGTCGATGACATATTACTCATAGGAAACGACGTCTCGACTTTGCAGGAGGTTAAGTCCTGGCTCGGGAAGTGCTTCGCTATGAAGGACCTCAGAGAGGCTTCCTATATTTTGGGAATAAGGATAGTGAGAGAAAGAAGTAAGAGACTGATTGGACTTAGTCAGAACACTTACTTAGAGAAGGTACTAAAACGTTTTAGTATGGAAAACTCGAAGAAGGGAGAATTACCGATACAAAGCAATTCCAAGTTGAGTAAGACTCAAAGTCCGCGTACCGAAGTTGAGATAGCTGATATGAGCCGAGTTCCATACGCTTCCGCAGTTGGCTCAATCATGTACGCTATGACATGTACTCGCCCTGATGTAGCCTTTTCTTTGAGCATGGTTAGTAGATATCAAGGGAACCCTGGCAAAGCCCATTGGGTTGCGGTGAAGAACATCCTTAAGTACCTTCGGAGGAAGAAGGAATGGTTCTTAGTCCTTGGAGGTAGTGATGACTTGAAGGTGCGAGGGTATAGTGATGCCAGTTTTCAGACCGACAGGGACAACTACAGTTCGCAGTCGGGCTGGGTCTTTACCCTGAATGGAGGAGCGGTAACTTGGAAGAGTTCCAAGTAGGAAACCGTAGCTGATTCAACATGCGAATCAGAGTACATCGCAGCGAGCGAAGCGTCGAAGGAGGCAATATGGCTAAAGAACTTCATCGGTGATCTTGGAGTTGTACCTGCCATAAAGGAGCCCATGGAGATTTTCTGTGATAACGAAGGAGCGGTTGCCTTGACCAAGGAACCGAGGAATCATGGTAGATCAAGACATATCGACAGAAAATATCACTTCATTAGACATCGTGTAGAAGAAGGAAAACTCGTAGTAAAGAGGATATCATCGGAAGATAACCCAGCAGATCCGCTTACGAAGAGACTAAGTAGGCTTAAGCACTTGCAGCATGCTAGGAGCATCGGGCTTAAGGATGATGTTAGCATAAATTAGATAGTATTAGAAACGTGTAATAGATAAATGTAATTAACATTTGATGATTAAATAAAGGAGTTTTATTTATAAGTAATGTTACTATCTTATGTTAATTGTTTAGCTGTTGTTTCACTTTGCATGTTTTGACTTCCAGAATAATTGAGTTTATTAAGAATAATCGAATTGTTCAAATTGTCCACAATCGTTCATATGTTGGAAGTAGATATGAATGAAGATTGTCATGAATAGGTGTGTAGAGTGTCTAAATGGTTTTAGACATAGCAAAAGGTTGCTGCAACGTTCATGAGTGCTTATGAACTAGTTTTGAGCATTGGAACAAACCCGCGCTTGCTGGAATCACCTTATGGAATGTGATAGTAAAAGGGTGATCGCAAGACGATAATATCATATAGTCTTAAAACCTAGATATATGGTTTGTTATTGGTTAATTGATTGTACATTGATAATGCGAAAACGCATTGGTAACTCGATGTTATAAAACGCATTGTTGTGTATAGTTGGTTAATGAATAACTAAATGCATATAAGTCGAAGTTTATCTGTAACTTTTATCCTAAGAAGGAAAAAGTGATATCTCGGCCGCTCGATGATTTGATTTGACTTATGTGTCGGGCCCGATCAGAACTGAATTGATGTGTTCGATTAACTTCTATGTTGAATAAATCGGAAATCGAGAAACCAAATGCTTGACTGACTGTTCCATAGTATTGTCACCATGATATCTAACAGAGGACTGTAAGATCCCTTATCTAAAGGACAAGATTGATTAGATCAGAGTTTGACAGCGTCTTTGAGAGCTACGATTGCAAACCGAATTGTACTTGCGCTTATAGTTACTAGACTTATCCAAGTGGGAGACTGTTGGAATAGTGTCTAAGGCTACAACTATATTAGGCAAGTATTTGACCCGGTTGTGCATGGTCCTTTTGGGTTGCCTTCACCATAGCAACTTGATAGGATGATTTATTAAGAGAGAGTTAATATTATTAGTATATTATGAGAATAATATAAAGAATAATATATAGTTATTTGATTAATATAAGTCATAGAATTAATCGGAATTAATTTGGAGACTTAAAGAGATTAATTAAATAAGAGGGTATAAACTGTCAATTGTTTGATAGTTACACTTTAGACTATAAATCCTTATCCAAGATAGGATGAACGATTTCTAGGGCTTGGATAAGCCAAAATCTTCCATAGGGTTATTAAGGAAAGGATATGGTTTAACTTAAAGTCTAAGTTATCCAATTAGGGTTTAAGCTGTAATCCTTAAGGAGTGTACAAGTATAAATAGACCCTAGGGGTGAGGGAATTCGACATATCATCTAAAGTAGAGACACTCTGGCTGAATTCCTCCCTTCTCCTCTCTCCCAAATCATCCTCCTTGCTATTGGTGTTTGTAAGCCATTAGAGGAGTGACAATTGTGACTCTAGAAGCTCCATGACAACAAGATCAACAAGGAATCAAGAGATATGATTCTAGATCTGTTTCAATATTGTTTTTACATCTAAATAGTCATTAGAAGTCTTGGATTCAAAGCATGTTTGATTAGAAAGCCTAAATCCGAGCATTAGTGTTTTGCATGCGCACATAGGAAAGTTCTTATGGTTAAAACCCATAAATATGGTAGTTTGGGGGAGCTCACTAAGCTTCGTGATTACAGTTTCAGTTTTTATTTTCAGGTACTTCGGCTAGTAAGGGAAGAGCTTGGGATGATGGCACGACACACACCACAGTTTCAGTTAGCCTGGGAGTTCACTCTGATATTTTGATATGTTTTGACACAGTTTTGATTTGATCCATTTTGATATGACATTTTGAGACACATGCTTCATGGGTTATTATATGACATCTATATATTATGGTTTTAGTTATGTTTTCAAATAAAAATTTTTGGGTGGTATTTTTGGAACGTTTCATGTGTCCCACATTGAAGGAATACCACCAGATCGACCCCGAGCACTATTACTAACAAAATCGAATCTATAATTACCCCACATACTTCAGATCTTTAAAAGATCAACTTGCCTCATTCTCGTTTCTTGCAAACCCAAAAAAGAAACTCCAAACTGTAAACACAACGCCTTAACCCAATTTCTTTTTAAAAAAGAACGGGTTCCACATATATTTAAAGAAATGCACTTCATTGATCCAACTATACCACACCAATACTAGATAAAATCTTTTTAACATATTCCTTATTAGTCTCCATATCATACCCGAGAAGGCTACCCATTTCAAAATATTGCTTCAACACATCTTCTATATCATCAACAACAACCAAGACTTTCTTTTTAAGGATCTTAGAAAATCCGTGAGACGTAGAAGATTGATCTCATCTAAAACCGGGAGGTTGTTATGGTTATTCGGCTACCCCCTCGCCATCCACATCATCTACCAAATGGGGCGAATCACCATGCAACTTACAACCATTCTCCATAACCGTAGAAGGCATCATCGGATTACATTTATTTTCAGCGACACCTCTCGTGACAGCAACATTTGGCATACAGGACCTCCTATCCACAACTCCATCGCCTTTTCTTTTATTATTTGTTTGAAAAAATATTCCGTTTCTATCAACAAATCCAACCCCTCTAACACCATTAATAGGTGTATTATCCATCCTAAAAGAGTTCTCATGCCCCTCATCAACCTTATAATCATTATATAGATTGATAAAATCATTCACATCATCATCAAAACAAGCAACTTCTTCCTCTCCCCCTGACAGGTCCGGAATATCTGACCCTATTTCTCCCTCCTCCATAATTTCGGTTCCCAATTTTGAAATTTCACACACCACAACCCCATATTCAACACCTTGAGCAACCACTTTAATCGTATCTTGGATGAAAAAAGGTTTCCCAGTCTTAATACACACACCTTTAACCGCCAAAGGAGCATCCCCATCATCTGCAATAAAACAGACCTCACTCCACATAGAAGCAAACTTTAACATCATTCCAAACACAACATGGTAAACCCACCAACTCCAACCAAATAACACGCTCTTTAACAAAAAAAACTATTAACCACCGGTCTATAAACTGAGAAATAAGCCTTAACCACCTCAGATTTCTTAAACCGTGCATAGGAAGCTTCCGATACAAAAGAAACATAGACCCAATTACTAGCAACATACTTAATGACAATTTCCGGAAAACCTTCTTCTTTCAAGAGAATACCCAACTTCGGGATCAATCTAATATCCGTAGTTTGCCAAAAACTGATACTATTGATCACAACAAGTTATCGATCTCCTATCCTTGTAAAGTGCATTCAAGAACCAAACCTTTGTTAGGTTTCACAACCCCCTAACCTTTTAATACATTTGCATAGGAACTAGAATGTCTAATAGCATGCACATTCATCTTCTTCACCTGCTCACAGAATTATGAGAAGCAATCTTCTCCTTTTTATTTCACAATCCCTTGTTATTAACATCTCGATTAAACCAAGCCAAAGAAGCAAATAAATGATATGATCCCATCCAAATGTCTCTAAGTTTTTGTTCCAGCAATAAATCATATTTAAATTTGATAAATCGAACAAATGCGAATCGCTTACCAAGTTTTGATAATTTCCTAGCAACATATACATCAACCACCCGCCCAACCTTATCACAGGCCTCCCATGATGTCTTGACGTTTGCTTCTCGAGGGAAATTAGTCACGAAGAATGGTGTTGAGATACTCTCAGCCCTTCTGTGATTCATTGAAACTGAATACAACTGATGCCCCCGTTCATTACCAACCATCGACAGTTAGCAATATAAACCGAAGAAGACTTGACTTTACATTATATATGTGTAGATATTTGATAAATCTTGACTTTGTACAATGCAAATATAAATATGAATAGAATGAAAAACAACAATTAATAATTGAAATTATATCGTTATATATAATAAATTAAAAATTGACGATAATATAATAAATATACATAAATTCAACACATTCAATTACAAATTTAAAAGATGAATGATGTCGATTTACTAAAGCAAAGTAAAAGTTGATATAAAAAATTAAAATCTACAATCTACAAATTGTTCATAAATTTCTAAAAACTTATTTGTACACATTGGATTAGAAGTTTTGTTTGTATGTATATAATCTTTATCTAAAATTATTAATTTTTTTAAAAAACTTAAACTTAAAGACATTCTTAGATTAGAATAAAAATATGATTTCCAATATTACTTCAATAATATATTTTCCTAAAGATACCATCTAACTAACTGGAACCCCGATTTTGAAAGATTACATCATTGAAACCTTAAAAGTAACCCCGATTTTAACCCACTTTTCCTTTTGGCTCATTTAAATATTTAATCAAACCCCATAAAAAAGGTTACTTGAGTCTTTTGTTGCTCTTTAAATTAGCTCAAGATCGTGAATGACCTTATTGAGTCCTAATGCAACCCATGTAAGAAAAGAAGACAACAGCTTAACAAATTAAACTATGTCCTCTTAACTCCATTGAATTACATATAAAAAACACCTTAGTCCAAACTAAAACAAAATAAAGACTATACATATTAATATTTTTATAAAAAACCATCAGTTTACAGTCTATAAGAACTTCATGAAAAACTTCATGAAAAACCATCAGGGCGCCTTCATATGTTTTTCTACTTAAGATATTAAGTCTACGAATAAAAAAATAGCCAATTATTGATATAGTTGTAGACAAAGTGGTCCCAGTTTCATACGCGTTATGATAAGCTATGACTTTCATATGTTTTTCTACGTAACAAAAACATTCTTAGAAATTGAATATATAATTATTATTACTTCTGTAAGAATTAGCAAATAAATAAGAATGTAGTGATTGTCTATTGCATACATTGATATATTTTTCATCATTTGTGGTCATATCTACATGGTGGTAACATTAAACATGTGAGGATGAGATGGAACGATGATCGAAAGTTATGGTGGTGGTAACTTTAAGCATGTGATATTTTGTTTTTGACTTCATATATAACTCCTTTATGATTTCAACATCAAAAAACACTATATTTACTTTTTCATGTGTTCAAATCGGCAAAGAAAAAAACACCCAGTTTTCTTAGAAAAGAACCTCATACCTCTTCCTGTGATTTCCGACAAGAAAAATCTGAGTGGATCCATGAGAACGACATCTTTAAGAGTTAGTTATGTATATATGGTTGTTTGTAGGGGTGCAAACGAGCCGAGCCGAGCCCGAGCTTGGTCAGGCTCGTTTAAGTTATACGAGGCTTGAGCTCGAACTCGGCTCGATTCGAGCTTCTTGTACCGAGCTCGGCTCGAGCTCGTAAATAAATATACAAGCTCGACTCGGGTTCGGGCTCGACTCGTTTTTTGTCTGACGTGCCTAAATAAGCTTAAGCTCGGTTCGAGCTCGTTAAGAAGCTTGTTTACTAATACCCTAAATACCTAATTCCTAAATATATTTTTATTTTAATATAGAAAAATAATAATAAATTATTTTATATAAAGGCTCGTTTAGGCTCGCGAGCCTAAACGAGCTTAGTGACATAGGCTCGAGCTCGAGCCCGTTTAATAAACAAGATCCATTTAACTATACAGGGTTGATAGCTTATCATAAAGCGTATGGAACTGTATAGGGAACGGGTGTCACGGGTTGACGGATTGGTGGGTCAAAATACACCATTAACGTTGATAGCTCGTTTAGGCTCGCGTGTCGCGGGTTGACGGATTGGTGGGTCAAAATACACCAACCCAAACACGATCCATTTAACTATACAAGGAACGGGTTGACGGTTGATAGGTTTGGAATATAAACTCATATATGACCCGTCAACCCACTTATTCATACGAGTTCATAAGTTGGTGGGTTCATGGGTTAGATTTGAGTTTGTGGGTTCGTAGATCAGATTCCATAAATAAAATTGATAATTACACATGGATAAATTTTTGATGCAAACATATCAGAATTTTAGACAACTAAGTCTTAAAGATCAAAATGAAAATTAAAAAAAAAAATTCATAAAAGGATGTTCAAACTAAAACATTAATACAAGCGACACACGACAAACGTGTTGCACAAGTCAAATGGGCAATGAAATCTTATCTTAGTGTATAAACTGTATAGTTGTAACACCCCGATTTTTAGGTATCAGATTTGTTCCAATTATGTATGATTTTCCTCTGATAAACGGCGTGGTGGAGCCTTGCTATGGCATGTTGAGGAACTTTTGGGCCATGTATTGTGACACCCCGATATTTCAAAGCAATGTAATGACCTAAAAGTCAAGTATTGTAATCTACTTTTGGATTTAATAAAAATAGCGTCAAAAATGAAATATTCAAAAGTCTCAATTGGGGTTGCATAAAATGATAAATATCGTGTCAAGGTTCTCAGAAATTTAAAGAACACTCAAATCCGAGTTATAACAAAGAAGTTATGGCATATCAAAGATCCGCGATATAACCGATAAAACGTTGTTAAGTGTACAAACGTGAAATTTCAATAAGTTACTTTTTAGCCTTAGGTATCTAAATGAAAGTTGGAGATTATGTTAAACCGTGAACATGCATAAAAAGAACGTCCAAATCTGACTTCGTATGAGGAAGTTATGATTTTTCTAAGTTTAAGAATAGTAGTAGACAACTAAAAACTTGAAACAACGATCGAGTGATTTGTGGCCGATGCAACCTAAACGAGAATTAAAGATCTTGTCAATAGTAGTACACTGGTAAAAAGACAGACGAAAACGGACGATCCACGAAGAAGTTATGAATTTTTAACGGACTTTTCCTATCCTGGCCTGTTAAAAATATAATATTAAAAATAAATCAAAATTAGTCGACGACGTCTAAACAAGAGTTGTAGAGTATATTCTCACCTATGCGTGGAGATAAATAACATAAAAATCACAGCTCGTATGCGAAAGTTACAGATTTTAGAAGATTAGGACACATAAACCGGGGGGGGGGGGGGGGGGAGTATGCCCAGCGTACGAGAGTACGCCCAACCTACTTGTAACACCCATGATTTTGGAAAGCCAAGAAAGTAAAGGAAACCCTAAATTTAGGAGGGACTCGGCGAGTCCAAGGAAGAACTCGACGAGTCCGAGCGGGATCCGAGTCGAGGAATAAGTGACCAACTTGGCGAGTCGGCCAAGGCGACTCAACGAGTAGGCTCTGTGCGAGGAAAACCCTAAATCCGGGGCTTGGAGCCTATTTAATCGCCTCATTCTTCTTCCTAGTGCTCCTTTACTGTCTCTCACACCCAGAATGCCGCACCCTAAGCCCCCATTGTGCTCATTCATGCTTTTGGCCATATTGAGTTATTTAAAGGAAGAAGAAGAAGTGGGAATCTTTGAAGCATCAAGGAGTGGCATTGGATCCGAAGTTTGGGGATCATTTCATAGCATTTGAAGGTACTAAGTCATTTCTCTCCTCCAGATTTTCCTTGGTTATGAGTTTTGGGGCTTTTAAGCCATGTTTGAGATCAATCTCGAGCTTGAGGTCCAGATCTGAGGTTGCTACCTCAGATCGATGCTTGTTTTGGTCTAGAATTCTGTAAAGTATCAGCCCTTCAGTGGATCATGGAGTCTTTTTGCCTTAAGCCCTAGTTTATAGCTTATTTTGCCTAGATCTCCTTCTCTACACATAATGTTTGCAACTTTACGTGGGGAAAAGGCTTGGGAAGGGTGGATCTACAGTTTGGAGTTCATGCATGACTCAAATGTCCTCTACATGAAAGGAGATCTGAAGGGACTCGACGAGTCCTTTGAGTGGACTCGGCGAGTAGCATGAAGTTGTGGAGAAACTCGACGAGTGGAATGAACAACTCGTCGAGTCGTATGAAGATTGCCTTGTACTCGGCGGGTCTATTCTTGGACTCGGCGAGTCAGATCACGAAACCCAAACCCTTCGAGTTGAGACTCGAATCAGTGAGTCGGGTGGAGACTTAGTGAGTTGGACAGGTCTGGACTCAGAAATCGGTAGACTCGGCGAGTTATGGACTGACTCGGTGAGTCGAGTCGCGATTGGAAGGAATATGAACATTATGAACTCGGCGAGTCAGTAGGGTGACTCGGCGAGTAGGGTTGACCTGGAAGGTTGCCTTTGGCCAGGACTTTGACCTTGGTCCAAGGTGGACTTGATTGTCTTTCGGGGGTCAGTTAGACTCAGTGTTGTATTGATATTGCTAGTTCGGGGAGCAAGGGGACCAGGAGTTCCGTGAGTTGTCGGGCAGCAACTAGTGAGATCATCAGCAAGTTTAGCCAGTGCAGGTGAGTTTCACTTTGTGTGAATGGGTCTAAGGCCATAATGCCGACCCATGTAGTTATGAGTAGAAGACCCGGGGGTTAGCCCTAGGCACAGTATGCTAGTATTATTTTCAGGACGAGGTCCAGTAATAGCGGGCGGGTGCCCAAGGAATTGTTTACATGATAGTTATACTTGTTGTCTGTGTGATACATGTATGTGCCTGGTAAGGAGGTGAGTGTGGGCGAGGTCCCGTATCTCACCAATAGCAGAGTGTGGATGGGGTTCCATATCTCATTACTAGCAGAATAGGGGCGAGGCCCAAACTAGAACAGGAGTGAGAGTGGGCTAGGCCTGTACCTCACTACCATTAGGAGCGTGGACGGGGTCCCATGACTTATCAGTAGCAGGACACGGGCGAGGCCCAGGATAGGCGAGGCCTTAGGACAGAACCAGTTGCATGTGTTAGTTATGTGTTGTGAAATGTTTTTGTGTTATTATGGACATAGGCAAGGCCCAGGATAGGCTAGGCCTTAGG